ACAAATATATTTGAAGATATCTCTAATTAATTTACTAATAGTCGAATTACAATTTTAGATATCTTGAATTGGATTTTTGACGAGTCAAAACTTTTTTCAATGGAAGTCAATGGAGGAATATGACTAGTCATAATATATTTGCAGATATTTCCAATCTGATTTCGTACTAGTACAATTGTAATTGCAGATATCTCTAATTGTCATTCTGACTAGTCGAATTATAATTATGACTAGTCAAAATATAATTAGAGATGTCTCTAAATATATTTATGGATAGTCAGAACAAGGTTTAAATGCTAAAACGGCTTGCCATACGCTCTCACCCAGTAGCACAGTGGAGATTTCTCTAGTTATATCATTTAAGTCGTTTGATATGCCGTCAAATATTTCACCAAACAGTCCTTAGGGATGCGGGGACACGCAGTCAGATATTTCGGCAAACAGATCCGCCACTTTTGGCGCTCATAAACAATCATAAAGCTCTCGTGCTGCAGGAATGAGGAGGTCTGCTGAAGGCGCGCAGCTGGCGTGCTGTGAGGAGTTTGCATCTTTAAGAAACTACAGTTTGCGATCACTGAACAGTAAGAATGATTAATAAATCCATATGAAACAGCCCCTTAAAAGTCACGTCTCGCTTTCGGTTTCGGGCTTTGGCGCGTTTTGCACTCACACACAAGCGTACCGCGCCAAAGCCCAAGTGAACCGGGCTCAGGCACACCTCTTCCAACCGGGCCAGGGCCGGCCAAGTGAACCGTGCTTGAGCCCGATTCAGCGCACTCACACTTCTCAAACGATCCGGGAAACGGGCCTGGGCACGGTACGGATGGCATAGTGTGAGTAGGCCCTTAGAGACCGGCTACATGAGTATATGAGTTTTTACATGAGGACTACTTCATTTAATATTTAAGTGAGGTAACACTTTACTCGAAGGGATGTTCATAAGACTGCCATGAAACCTTTATAATCATGACTTGACAAATGAGATTTTGTTTGCATGCTTTATAACAACGTTATTTGCTCAGTTGTCCTTTTAAATGCAAATATGACATTGCTTGTTATGACAACTTAACATATACATCACAACCAGTCTTTATCTTTGTCAAGACAATTTAACATTACCAAGACAACTTAACTTTTAATAAATGTGCAAGACGAAGGCATTGATCCTATGGACTGGTCCGCCCATTTCCCAGACCTGAATCTAATTGAGCACATCTGGGACATCATGTCTCGCTCCATCCACTTGGCAGATGCTTTAGTCCAGGACAGGGAGGAGATCCTTCATGAGAAACCATGGAGTGTGACTCCAAATCCAGAGCTTCATGAATTAAGTTTGATTTCCATCGATAATTTTTGTTAGAATTTTTTTGTTGTCAGCACATTCAACTATGTAAATAACTAAGTGTTACATAAGCATATTACATTCATTTAGATCTAGGATGTGTTATTTTAGTGTTCCCCTTATTTTTTGAGCAGTGTATGGAGTAACACTGCTAGTTAAATACACTCCAGTGAAAACTAGAATTCCCAGACATTCAATAATGAATTCCCATAGCTTTTTTTAAATTAAAATTATAAATAAAAACAATTTAAGTGCAAAAACTATTTCTAATTTGAGATTAATTCACTGAATAATCATTTTAGTCCTATCTAACATTCTCTATGCAATAAATGAAAACACAGAAAAATAAAGCAGTGTTTTGCTGTTTTTCAAATGAATGATTCATGACTTGAACTGGAATGATTTTGAATTGACAGTCATGACAAGTGTTTAAACCTGTATGTCTCAAGTAAAAAGTTTCATTCTTCAAGAAAAAAAAAAAGTAAAATAAAGTTAAACAAACCAATTACAAGCAGCTGAAGAAACATAAACAACAGACCAAAGACACTAATGAATCCTGGGGGTTTTAAATTGGAACCATGAAAGTAAATGTCAGATGCTCTCGTCCAACCACGTAAAACAAAACGATCATTAAAGGTTCAGGACACCCTGGAGAACTTTTTTTTTATATTAACAGATTTGTGTGTGTTGAGCATCAGTTAAGACAATGTTAGCACCTGTCAGCTTTAATTGTGGGGAAAACTGGATAATTTTGAGCTTTTGTCAGCTAATTTCAGCTTCCGGATTTAAAATGATTTTTGGGGCGGGATCAAAATCGGCGACGTAGCGCAGTACTGCAAGTGCAATGATGACGCGTCGGTTTCTCATTATTATTCATAGCGGAGTTTTCTTATCCTATGAGAAGAGCCGGCTGCTTAATTATTCACGAGACCTGCCAGACCTGCCAGAGTCAAGCCCGAGCTGTGAGACACGGCACGGGCACACAGTATTTAGCCGTTCATGAAGGCTCGTATGCGTTTATTTCCATGATCCACGGGGTTTGTTGCATGTTTTCCCCCGCGATCTTGTCAGGGCCAATCATACAGCAAAGCTGTGTGTGTGCTGCTAGCATTTTTGTCGGAGAGCAGCACGAGAATTAGAAAATGGCGGACGCTGTCTTTTATCAGGAGTTCGTTCACATTCAGACACATCACTGTGCTGCTGTGTTTGCCTAAATCCTCCAGAATACCAGCAGGGCTAATGGTTAAAATAGACAGGTCAGGAGACCTGCAGCACTGAGTCTGCTGGATACGGGGATTGAGGGAGAATCCTCATTTATAGGGTTTACATGAACACACTTATCTTTATAATAATATAAATTGTGGTTATGTGTATATGAAATTACAAATAACAAATGTAGCAGGGCATTAAATCACTGTTCATTTTTTTGCATTTTAACTTTGTAAACTATAAACTCATGCGTCTCCTCACGGTTTGTCTCATTTTGTGAGCTAGCTTCGTTCGCTCACGTTCTCCCCTGCTGGCCACGCCCACTCCTGCCCGATGCTCGCGGAGCTCCACGCCCATTAATCATGCATCTTTTGAAAAAATTCTGAAGTAGACTTTAACCGAAAGTAGGGGGGGGGGGGGGGGGGGGGGGGCTTTAAATGCTTGAGGTATTACAAAAAGGGTGCAGATGTTGTTATTAAAATTGATCAAGTTTCCTTTTTGGCGAAGCTTTACATTGTGTTCAACAGTGAAACACTTATTAAAAAGTTATCCAAGGCAAGTCAGTACTTCTATATTCAGCTCACTCAAACCAGCGACACAGAATAAAAAACTATTTATTAGTTCGTTTATTACGTGAGAGACAGAAGCCAATCATATGCATTTAGAGCCAGAAATAGATTTGATCCATTAATTTCTCGAGACCTCGGTTTGAGTTGTTCGTTCATCATATGAAAGACAGAAGCCAATCATATGCATTTAGAGCCGGAAATAGATTTGATTTGTTCATTTCTCAAGACTTCAGTTTGAGTCATTCGTTCATCATGGTAAAGACAGAAGCCAATCATGTGCATTTAGAGCCGGAAATAGATTTGATTTGTTCATTTCACAAGACTTCAGTTTGAGTCATTCGTTCATCATGGTAAAGACAGAAGCCAATCATGTGTATTTAGAGCCGGAAATAGATTTGATTTGTTCATTTCTCGAGACCTTGGTTTGAGTCATTCATTCATCATGTTAAAGACAGAAGTAAATCATGTGCATTTAGAGCTGGAAAAAAATTTGATTCGTTTATCTCTCAAGTCCTCGGTTTGATTCATTCATTCATCAAGTGAAAGACAGAAGCCAAACATATGCATTTAGAACCGGACAAAGCTTTGATCCGTTCATCTCTTGAGTTTTCGGTTTGAGTCGTTCGTTCATTACGTGAGAGACAGAAGCCAATCCTATGCATTTAGAACCTGAGAAAGATTTGATCTGTTCATTTCTTGAGTCCTCGGTTTGAGTCGTTAGTTCATCACATGCAAGACATAGCCAATCATATGCATTTAGAGCCGGAAATAGATTTGATCCGTTCATTTCTCGAGACCTCGGATTGAGTCGTTCGTTCATCACATGAAAGACAGAAGCCAATCATTTGCATTTAGAACCAGACAAAGCTTTAATCCGTTCATCTCTTGAGTCCTCGGATTGAGTCGTTCGTTCATCACATGAAATACAGAAGCCAATCATATGCGTTTAGAGCCGGAAATAGATTTGATTTGTTCATTTCTCGAGACCTCGGTTTGAGTCATTGATTCATCATGTTAAAGACAGAAGCCAATCATATGCGGTGGAAAAAGATTTGATCCGTCCATTTCTTGAGTCTTGGTTTTGAGTCATCTCTTCACAATAATTAAAAGGTGAACTAATTATGGATGTTTCCAGCTCAGATTGACACATTGGTGAAGCTTATATGGGACTGTCAGTGTCAGGTGAACGAGCGACTCAAATTTGAAGACACTCCAGAAAAGGTGAGCAGAGCTAATCATAGATGAAACACCAGGTAAACAATGAAGGATTGTTTTCTCTTTCTTAGTAGCATTGCATTGTATAGTGTTGTATTCTAGTTATTTCTTGTTTGTAGTGTGATCAACGTTTGGGCTAGTTGTAGATATGTTTGGTAGCATCTCATTTTAATGTTATTTTGGCAAATTGAACAGATTGAGTTTTATTTTTTGCAAAAAAATATTTCTTTTTAAAAACGGAGACATGTTCAATACTTTTTTTCCCCACTGCAAGTTCACCTTCGTAACACCCATAACTTTCAGAATTTGATTAATATCCATGACTGTCTCAACCCTGGAAAACACAATTTTAAAACGCTCTCATATTTACAGGTCTTCCATGACCGTGAAAATGGCTGATTTCCACATGTTAAAGAACTGAATTATTATTCATTGCTGTGCAGCTTTGTTCTCTGAAATGTGTCAATTGATGCTGCACTTGCATCTTATCATGTGTGTGTGTGTGTGTGTGTGTGGCAAGCATCCAATTAAATGACAATTGTCGATAGAGCCTGTCCTTACCATTCTGATGCATTACGCATGAGTCGGTGAATGTTTGTGGGTGTAGGAGTTCTGTCTGAGGCCTCATGGGTAGTTATAATCCTGCGAGGAGAAAAACTTTTTACCTGGACTTGTAAAACAGAGGTGAAGGTCTTGGCATCCTCTGCAACCCCGCCGAGGTAAAAGGGCTTAGTGAACACAGGAGGATGATCGTTCTCGTCTTGCACATCAATGAAGACCTTTGCTGTGTTGCCTGCGAGAGTAAGTCAGAAAACCAAAAAATAAACATTAAAATTGAAGTGAGGCAAACGGAACTTCCAAAACAACAACAACAAAAACAAAGAAAGGTTATATACAGGTAGCTTTCATAAAGCAAAACAAAACTGCTTGTCTGTCTGTCTGTATGTCTATCTATCTATACAGTGGGTAAAATAAATATTGAACATCATGATTTTTCACCGTAAACATATAAATAAATAATATAAAGGAGCTGTTGACATTAAAATTGACCCAAATTTTAGAACCCCCCCCCACCACACACACACCCAAAAATCTGAAGTAAATGTTATACGTTAAAGAGTTCCTATGTTACCCCTTTTTTAATATTTAATCAGAGATGTTTAAACTACTATAGACCCAGACTTAAGTAAAAGTACAAGTGCTCTACCAAAAAAAGTGACTTGAGTAGAAGTTGAAGTGCTCTTTAAACACCATTTTTAAGTGGTAGTACTAAAGAATTCAACATTTTTTGTACTTAAGTATTGCAAGTAGTTTATTTCAAGTACTAAAAGTAAAAGTACAAGTATTGTGTAATGTAGTTTTTAAAGAAATCAGTCAAAAGACATCATATTGTTTTGTTTATTTTAAATATCTTTTTTTGGGGCACATGATTAAGCAGAACGAAAAGAAACATAGCTTACGAAAACGATTGTCTCTTGCGCTTGAACCACAGATCTGACCGATTATAATAGCTTTAACACACACCTTTCAAAGTTGTGTGTCACAAAAACACTCTGTAATCCACTCAAAACGCTACTGAAACCCTTTTCTTATCGCAAATAACCGGTTGTAACGGTGTAAACAGAAGTTCTAAACATTCTACTGGAAGATGCTGGTCACTATGGCGCCCTCCATGCAGTAGCCAAGAATAATTGTAACGAATAGGGGTGTGAATCTACACTGGTCTCACAGTTTGGTTCGGTTATGATTATCATGCCATCGATTCGGTTCAATTCAAAATCTCAGTGCATCTCGGTGCACTGACAATGCTTTCCATACATAGTTAATTTTTTTCTTCACAACACAATTTTTTTGATAAAATCTATAAACATAATAATATTTATATATTATTTGTTATACAATTTTGTTCTTTAATACAGCAATAAGATATATGGACTGTACCCTTTGACTGCTCAAAGAAAACACTCTTTCTGAATGCATCAAACAAAACTCAAATACATGCACAGAAGACAGCGTAAGTATTTAAAGCAAATAAACTAATGTAAATATTATACCGCTTGCTTTTTGAGCGCTGACAGGCGAGGTCTTACTCCCTTATGATTAGTTATTGTCTTCACCTGCTTAACAGAAAGGGCTGTGATCGGCTTTAGAAATAAAAGCACTGTTTACCAATGTCGGGAAGAACAGCCGCGGTTACAGTCTGTCTGCGCATAATACACTGTTATCACAGGTAATCCATAATAGACACAGAGGAGAAAATTTGCACCTCCGACACGCTCATGTCAGGATCCACAAGTATCGCTTTAACAGCCAAGAGGAGTGGAAAAGTTACCTTACAAACAGGCCAGCGGGTCAAATGTCCAAACGGAGAGAGAGAGAGAGGTAAAGACGGAGTTTTACAGCATTTCTCCGTAGTAGTGAAATAGCAGCTTGTGTGTTGTGCCGCCTTCATTGTAGTAACAGCGTTATGTACTCGCCCTCGCCTCATTCGCCATAGTATTCAACTGCGACATCGCGCATAGGAGATAAATGATGTCAGTACGTAATAACCGGTTATGATCTATTACTGAACCGATATCAATAATTTTGACACCCCTAGTAAAGAGTAACGTATGTTACTAAAAAAAACAAAAACAAAAAAAAAAACGAATGAAATTATTTGATATTCTACAACAGCTTCATGCTCAGATTTTGTAGCCACAATCATGCTTGGGGACTTGCGAATAACTGGATAGAGTAATCATAAGATAATTTGAAGAAAGATGAAAACCTGTAACCATTGACTTCTACAGTAGGACAAAAATACTATGGAAGTCAATGGTTACAGGTTTTCGACCTGTAGATAGATTGATAGACATATAGATAGATTACAATTTCAAAACATCTTTTTTAGTGTTCAATGGAAGAAAAACAAGTCAAACAGATTTGGAACAAGCAAATGCTGAGTAAACGATGAGAGAATTGTCACGTTTTAGGTGAACTATCCCTTAAATATAAATATTTATTATATTATGCATAATATAATCAAAACAGTAACACTTTATGCTTTATTTGTTCACAGTACCTACGTTTTGATAGATAGATAGATAGATAGATAGATAGATAGATAGATAGATAGATAGATAGATAGATAGATAGATAGATAGATAGATAGATAGATAGATAGATAGATAGATAACAATTTTAGATGCAAAACAAATTATTTTCTTTGAAATTTTTTTTTTATAAATGTTGTTTCTATTTTCAATCTTTCATTTAATTACTATGTACTCAATTTTTCCCTAAAACTAAATATTTTTGGTTGAATAATAAAGAAATAAAACTCTATAGCAGTTTAGCCAAATAAACCCTAACAAAATAAAAGTCCTAACGCATTTGCAGAAAACAGCTAATTTCCCCATTGGAAAATAAGCTGAATTTAGAGCACAGCATTCCTTCATCCAGTCTTTCAAGACCATCATCTGTCACTTCTTAAAGTAAAAGGCAGAGTCATATTTTGTGGGGGTATGAAAGCAACAACACAATTTATCATCTGGCAGACTTCAGCGCTCATGCCAAGGGGATTCCAGAAGCTTCTGCTCATTTCTGCACAGTCACTCCCAGTAAAGCATTGAAGCATTGCCGTAACATGACACAAGAGTATCACTCACCATTGAAGAGAAGGGCAGCCAACAATGAGCATGATTACATGCATGACAGCTCACACAATAATAACTCAATGAAAGACCTATACAGTATATTGTGAGGAAATTTTCTTTTTTTTTTTGTGAACTATTCCTTTAGTTATAATTGGGTTAAGAATTGTAAGGAATTTAACACATATATGAGCAAATGAGTTGCCTGAAAACACAAACCAAATATTTCAAATACGTTTACAATAAAATAGCAATATATTAACCTCTAAAACCACTTTTTAAAGGCATTTATTTGCCACAATCATGCAGGATAATTTCAATTCTGTTCTTTAGGAGGTTTTTTTTAACATATATTAATAATATATGGAACGATGCAAATATTACCATTAATTAATCTGCATATGAATCATTTGGCAATCCTTATTTGTATGATTACTCGAGCTAGATATTCATGAAACCGATGGAGGTCTTATTTATAACAAGGACCTGGCAGATTTTGCAAAGTATAATTAATTAAATGTGCTTTTAATAATCAATTAAAAGCACTAAACTGACAGACTGACTGGATACTGTACACCTAATCATTGGATTTTATCATTAGGTTTGCTTACTCAGAATATTAAATGAGAGAGAAAAAAAATCAATATCCATCACTGTGTAGTGTGGTTAATCAGCAATTCTTTTCTCAAATAATGATTTTCCGTAATCACCCTAACACAATGAATGGACAAGCCATCAGGTAACGCTAGATGACAGGAAGCTATTTATTATGGTCTATTTTTTTTATTATTATATTGAATCACTTAGCATTAGCAGGCTGAAAAGGAAGTATTTTATTCACTCTGAAAAATAAAATAATAATTAAAAACACTGTGGACAAGCTTTTAAGCCACGTAAAATATCCCAGGGTCAAAAGCAGACGCATACAGAATGTTCTTCATTCTCAAAAATTTGATTGATGTATTCAAAGATCAAGTCTAAAAATCTATTTAACACATTAGAGCACATGTATTTTGAAATATTCAAGCTGATCTCCTGTTGTGAGCCCTTTTTAAGGCAACTATAATTTCAGATCTATTTTTCCCTTTGGTTTTGGATGACGCACTACAGCCACAAAAGCACTGTATATGCTCTTTTTATATTCATTAATTAGATTCATTTATTCATTTTCATTACTTAAAATACATGTTAGTGAATGTATTTTGCTGTTTAAATGCGTAATGATGATATTGGTAGATTTAAAACAGATGATTGGCTTGTTAAGTAGGTAGGGGTGATAATGTCATATTTTTTGTTGTTGAGTGTCACATATTTTACAACAAAAAAGAAAAAAGAAAAGAAAAGAAAAAACAAGTCTCGATGGTGAAAAAAACATTGATTAAATGTACTTAAATTGAGCCACGAAATTAAGTAACAGTGCTTTTTCCAAATATCAGAATAACTACTACTTTGAGGGTTTTTTCTCCTTTTTTTCGCCAATAAAATATATACAGCAGATGATCTTTGTGTCTCAGATCAATGATGTGGTTTTTCATCCATGAATTAATAATAAATTCATATGTTTTAAAACAACATTAATGTCAGAGTCCTGACCTGAACCCAATTAATAGTTTGTAAAAAGAGTTTAGGATTTAGGGCTGGACGTTTTAGTAATTCAACAAGTAGAAGTTTTCAACCCAGGCTCATTCTGATTACGAACATATAAATTGACCAGAGGATGTGTACACTTTTTGAGAATTTCAAATTTCTCTCACGAGTGCCATTCAAGCCTGCTGTTCATTGCTCAATCCAGAAAAATAAAAGCCCTTGCAGCAGCCTGATTTTTACAACGTTTCCAGATTTTACCACATTCTCACCCTGTTATTTACTGCATTATTTAATTATTTGGCTTTTGTTCTTATCTTACCTGCTTTCTGGAACTGTTCCCAGACTCAAACTCTATCATCCCGATCAACTCTCCTTGTTGTCTCGAGTCTGTACACGAATAAAATACGCGTCAAGTACGCAACGAGCCACTGGACAAACTAGTAACAGCGGAAAAGCCGTGCACATAGAGGTAGCGTTCATTTTAAAGATAAAATGCAGCCATACGTTCTTCTGACTGCATAATTTGCGATCTCCAGAAACGTATAAGCAGGGCCGGAGCAAACTGAACTGCCGCTCTAGGCAGAGGACGATCATGCTGCCCTCAACCCCAGTGTGAAAAGGAAAGTGACCGGTAATGTAAATGAAGTGAGGTGTCGCGGACCTCTTTTCCAGCGCACTATGCGTGGATATAATTGAGGACGCGCGGGTGCTGAGGGAGGGAGGGAGGTGTCGCGGACTGCGCTCGCTATTCTTCCGCCCTATGCGCCGATATAACTGAGGACATGCGGGTGCTGATGAAGGTGTGGCTGACGTCGCCCTCTCTATTCTGTCGTCTATGCACAAATATATCTGAGGACGCGGGTGGTGAGGGAGGTGTTGCGGACATAACTGAGGACGCAGGTGGTAAGGGAGGTGTCGCGGATGCCGCCCTCTCTATACTGCCGCCCTAGGCGGCCGCCTAGTTCGCCTCTATGGACGCGCCGGCCCAGCGTATAAGGGGTGCGTTTCAGAGCCTAGACTGGAAGTTTTTGTGAGAGAAGAGTGGGAAAACTTGCCAAAGCAGAGCTCATTAAATAACAATAGTTTTACCATTGCTTATTTAAAAGGACTATTGACTTAATAATACAAGGAGTATGAATAATTGGAGATATTTGAATGCTCAATAATAAATTACGTTGTCTACAAAATAGCATATTCCTTAAAACATATCAAATGCTCTTATTTTTGTCACTTGCTAGCCATATATTAAATATATGAAGGCATTATAAAACAACTCAAAAGGTTTTTAAATACCAGGGGTATATATAATTACATTATATTCACTAATAGTCCCAGGTAAGCCTATGTTATTCGTTTCAGTGGTTGTTATTGGTGAATTAAATACTTTGGTATGTTGTGAATGACCAATGAGAATCAGGTATTACAGAGAGTTGTGTAATAAAGTAATAAACACAATGCTTTGCCAATCAAGCTACACAAACTTAAATTTTTCATTGATGAAATGGAACAATGTATTGTGTCTTAAGGTATGTGCACAATTTTAGTATGCTCCTATAAGGGTCATATTGCAGGAAAGTAACAAATAACCTAAATCAACATATAGAATGGAGGGTTAGGCTAACGAGTTAGTTTGCACAACAGTACAGACAACGTGAGCTATTAAATTCATCCGCTTCTATTAAAAACATTTAAGCGGTTGGCGATTTATGCAATAAATCAATAAAGGAGTGCAATAAAGGATTTTTATGGCTATTTTATTGCCATTTTAATAAACAGCCATTTTCAAATAATACATGTAGTTTATGCCAGTTTTTATGTGCATTTAATATCTGAATCCTAAAAGAATACAACAATCCCTAATTAAATTCATTTCTGGCACAGCACCAGTGAAATGTAAGGGCAGATTCGTCCACACTAGTGGATGGTAATGTTATTTTTATTATAAGCATGTGCCGTCATTTGTCAGCCAGCATGCTTTAAAGCAAGATGCAGTCTGATTGGCTCTTTATTATTCATTGTTCATCAGCTGGAGTAAAAAAAAAAAAAAAAACTAACTTCTAAAACTGCTGCCAGCAATGTTGTCTTCATTACATTTACAGGGTGTGAAGATGCAATAAAAGAAGTCTTACTTTTGGCTGGGGCTCGTAGGTTGGAGGACACCACCCTCATGGAGTCCGCTTCCACGCGCAGGACATAACTGCTGTTGCTCTCATAGTCCAGAGGTTTTGCAGTGCTGATTACTCCAGTGTTATTGTTCACCACAAATTCACCTGCCCAAAAAAAAAAAAAAAAATTATGAAATCATTTGATTTTTAACATCAGCTTCATCCTCAGATTTTGTAGCAACAATCGGGGATTTGTGAAAGCTGGAAACCTGTAACCATTGGCTTCTATAGTAGGACAAAAATACTATAGAAGTCAATGGTTATATCTTCTTAAGTGTTCAATGGAAGAAAAACAGAGATAAACAGGTTTGGAACCAGTAAAGGGTGAGTAAATTATGTGAGAATTTTCTGTTTTGGGTTAATTACCCCTTTAATAGCAAATATTTTTATATTATGCATAATATAACCATAACAGTAACACTATATGGATGTTTTATTTGTTCACAGTACCTGCTTTTATTAGTTAACATCAACTAACATAAAAAAGGCTGTTATGCATCAATGGAGTGTGTCATTACAGTTTTAGTGTAACTATATAACAGAGTAATAAGCAGTATATTGTACTTAAATATAAGATTAGGCCACAATGCTTGTAATTATCCATTGCTTATTCATTAATGGAGGTAGGAATAGATGGATGGATGAATGGGTGGTGGTTGGGTTGATGAATTGCTGGATGGGTGGGTGGGTGGGTGCTTGGGATGGTGATTGGGTGGATGAATGGATGGACGGATGAATGGATAGAAAATTAGATGGATAGATATATGGACGGACGGAAGAACAGACGGACAGACAAACAGATAGACAGACAGACAGACAGACAGACAGACAGATAGATAGATAGATAGATAGATAGATAGATAGATAGATAGATAGATAGATAGATAGATAGATAGATAGATAGATAGATAGATAGATAGATAGATAGATAGATAGATAGATAGATAGATAGATAGATAGATGGTTTGACGAGTAGATGGATGGATAGATAAATGGATGGATGGATGGATGGATGGATGGATGGATGGATGGATGGATGGATGGATGGATGGATGGATGGATGGATGGATGGATGGATGGATGGATGGATGGATGGATGGATGGATGGATGGATAGATAGATAGATAGATAGATAGATAGATAGATAGATAGATAGATAGATAGATAGATAGATAGATAGATGGTTTGATGAATAGATGGATGGATAGATAAACGGATGGATGGATGGATGGATGGATGGACGAACGGACGGACGGACGGACGGACGGACGGACGGACGGACGGACGGACGGACGGACGGACGGACGGACGGACAGACAGACAGACAGACAGACAGACAGACAGACAGACAGACAGACAGACAGACAGACAGACAGACAGACAGACAGACAGACAGATAGATAGATAGATAGATAGATAGATAGATAGATAGATAGATAGATAGATAGATAGATAGATAGATAGATAGATAGATAGATAGATAGATAGATAGATAGATAGATTGTTAGATAGTTCAGAGAAGGTCTTTAAATATTAAAGCACAAAGATATTTCTCCACTGCATTATTCAAAACAGGGATTGCCGCACGCTTATTTACTACATAAACATGTACACATTAGTTCCACTGCATTTACACAAAAAAGTACTTTGTTACCCGTTCCTTTACCATGATATGACATTACTCATAGGGCCCCAAAAGAACTGGATGGCAGCAAATCTTGGCCCGTCTGCGTCTCAAAAGTCACCCTTTAACCGCTTCCGCTGCAGCGTATCGCTAATGCACTTAGCTATATTGGGATTCCAGGTCCTGAGTGCACAACCCACCTCTCGAGCCTCATTAACATTCATAAAGGATTAGCTGTGATCTCGGGTGATGTCATCGCATTAAACGTCTTGGATCCAGGCAGTTTGAAGGGTGCAATGATTACCTTATTCTTCCCCGCTTTTTTTTTCTCCCCCTAGTTCGCTCTAATGAAAACAGCCCTTTGATTACCTATCTACGCTTCTTGATTTCCGCCTAATGAGAATGTACCGAAACGATTTCCCCTTCGCTTTAAACCAGCGCCAGATGTATTCAAAAGTGATTTCGGATGAACAGAGAGGATTTAATCACACTCACACCTCCCTCTTCCTGACACATGGCAACAGGAAGTACATTCCTTCAAACAAAACCTTCTCTCTAGTGGAGCTTTTGATAAGTTGCAGCTGACAGAGCCATAAGAAACACCAGCTACTCTGTCATTATCCTCTGCTTGATGTCTTACAAACTGTAATTTATTACAATGCAATAATATCCAGCTCATAAAAGACCAGCGTGACATTTCCCGCAATCTTGTCTTCTTTTTTTTGGGCTTTCTGAGGAAGGAATCAACCATACTCTGCTTGAAGTATACTCTTGGCTTGTATGAGAAATGCCAGTTTAATTGCATGCCCTTTCTGCATCATTTTAGCACTTGATTCACTATATTATGCAAATCTGGTTAGCGCTCACCGCCTTCGTTTCCTTCCATGATAGAGTAGAAGATGGTTTGGTTTATTGGAGGATCATCTGACACAAATATTGGAGTAATGACTTGAGTTGGAGTACTTGAGCTTAGACTTAACTACAACTTTTATTGAATTTGTAATAGACTCAGGTGCATTTTTTGTCCCTTCAAACTTAAGGCCCAATCCCAATTCTAACCCTTAGCCCTCGTTTTGCGTGTTCCTGTGAAGGGGTAGGGGTGTCCTAATTCTCTTTAGTTTGAAGGCGTAGGGCTAAGGGGAAGGGGTAAATACCCCTTCGAACGAATATTTTTCAGGACCACACTCGAAATCAAGGGGTAAGAAAATTTCCCAGAATACACCAGCCACAATGGCAGGACAGCTGCACCCGGAAGTAAGGAGATCCACAAATTAGTATTTTTTGTTATTATTACGCATTTTTACAACAAACAAGCACATGTTTTGATATATTCATAACCGCGTTCATGTTTAACGTCATGCTTTAAAAAACCCTGCTAAAATAAAAACAATTTTCTAAATTTTCTAATCAACTAAATTTCGCTATCTAATTGCCAATTCTTATTGGTAAATATTAAAGCCTTTCCCCTTTACCCTCAATTTTAAGGGCCAAGGGAAAGGGGAAGTGGTAGGGGTACAAAAATAAAATTGGGATTGGATTGGAATGGAATTGGGCCTAACTCTGGTGGTTTTGGGACCCAAATTAAAGGTTTAGAGTCCAACCAACACTGTAAAAAGGCTGGGTTCCACAATCAATTTGTTCTGGGAAAACATGAAGGAATTAACTTATAAATTTTTACAAATTTAAGTGAATTAAACATAAAACAATAAGGTGTTTACAAAAAAAACCTCAAGAATTGTGTTATTGCAGCTCACTTTAAATAAGTAGATTAAACCATGTCATTTTTTTTAGTGAAGCCTGGTGCCGACCCTGAATTTAATTAAATGTGAGCAGTTTTGCCAAGAAGGATGCGATTCTGGATTAACTATCTATGTTGATCCTGGAACATCATTTTTCTCCACCTATAGCTTTTGTGTTGTGTTGGTTTCATCAAACATGGACCCTTCAGCATGCAATGGGGCAGTTTGCTGCCGAGTGTGTTGATGCTGGGATGAGAATCAGCACCTCTAAGTCCAAGAACCTCTCCAGGTTGGAGGAAAGTCTTTACCCCAGGTGGAGGAGTTTAAGAGTCTTGGGGTTTTGTTCACGATTGAGGAAAGGATGGAGCATGAGATTGACAGGTGGATCGGTGCATCGGCAGCAGTAATGTAGTCAAAGTACCGGTTCATTGTGAGCCTAAAGGCAAAGCTCTCGATTTACTGGTCAATCAAGGTTCTGGCTCTCACCTATGGTCATGAGCTTTGAGTCATGACCGAAAGGACAAGATCTCGGATACAAGCGCCTGTTTCGGATGCTTCCTGGACACCTACTTAGGGAGGGACTTAGGGAGAACTCGGGGGGCCACCGGGAGGAGAACTCGGGGAAGATACAGGACAGACACTGGAAGGACTCTCGGCTGGCCTGGGAATGCCTCGGGATTAGAGAGCAGTCTGGTTGCAGATTCAGTGCAGATGAAATCTGAGCTGCATGCAATGCTTTTGAGTAGGCTAACCTAACCCCACCCCTATCCATCACAGTGACATCACTAGCTCCATTGAATGCATTGTGTTTGACATTACATGCACTGGGGCAGTTTGTTGCCAGTGTGACATGGCTGGGATGGGAATCAGCACCTCCAAGTCCAAGGCCATGGTGCTCCACCAGAAAAAGGTGGTTTACCATCTCCAGGTTGGAGGAAAGTCTTTACCCTAGGTGGAGGAGTTCAAATGTCTTCGGGTTTTGTTCACGAGTTGGGGGAAGGATGGAACGTCAGACTGACAGGTGGATCGGTGGAGCGGCAGCAGAAATGTAGTCAAAGTACCAGTCCGTTGTGGTGAAGAGGGAGCTGAGCCTAAAGGCAAAGCTCTCAATTTACTGGTCAATCTATGTTCCTACTCTCATCTATGGTCATGAGCTTTGGGTCATGACTGAAAGGACAAGAGCTTGGATACAAGCGGTTGAAATTAGTTTCCTTCGAAGGGTGGCAGGGCGCACTCTTATAGATAGGGTGAGGAGCTCTGTCACCCGAGAGAAGCTCGGAGTAGAGCCGCTGCTCCTGCACATTGTGAGAAGACAGCTGAGGTCGCTCGGGCATCTGTTTCGGATGCTTCCTGGACACCTACTTAGGGAGGTGTTCCAGGCATGTCCCACCGGGAGGAAAATTCAGGGACTATGTCTCTCGGCTGGCCTGGGAACGCCGGGATTAGAGAAGGATCTGCAGACTCAGTGCGGATGCAATCTGATCTGCATGCAAAGCTTTTGAATAAGCTCACCTAACCCCATCCCTACCCCTCACAGTGACATCACTAGCCCCATTGAATGCATTGTGTCTGACATTGCATTGACAGAGATGCAATCACAGTTTGCATCATAAAGGCTGCATCCAGTTACTATAGCAGGATTACCCCGTAGGAGTTGGAGGAAGTGTCAGGAGAAAGGGAAGTCTGGGGTTCTCACCTAAGACTGCTACCCCCACGATCCAACCCCGGAAAAACGGATGAATAAGAATGAATGAATAAACTGGCAGTGGGTTGGTTATAGAGACCAAAACAAAGACAGGCATTCTGGCACAGAAAGCACATCTTCAAAGAAGAATAACTGACATTTAGCATTGTTTTTCAGATAAACAAATATGTTTACTTAGCATGTTTCTCAAATATCTACCAATATATTATGCAGTTTTGATGTTTTAGATGAGTCAAAAAATGTGTATCAGTGTACTGGATCTGTGCATTTGGAAGTACATTCCTCTAAACAAAACCCTCTTGCTAGTGGAGCTTTTGATAAGTTGCAGCTGACAGAGCCATAAGAAACACCATCTACTCTGTCATTATCCTCTGCTTGATGTATTACAAACTATAATGTATTACAATGCAATAATATCCAGCTCATAATAGACCAGCATGACATTTCCAATCTTGTCTTTTTTTGTTTCCTCTACTGAGGTTTCTAAAGAAGGAATCAACCATACTCTGCTTGAGGTATACTCCTGTTGGCCTGTCTTGTATGAGAGCTGCCAGTGACAGTTTAATTGCATGCCCTTTCTGCATCGTTTTAGCACTTGATTCACTAAACATATTATGCAAATCCGGTTAGCACTCACCGCCTTCATTTCCTTCAATGATAGAGTAGACGATGGTTTGGTTTATTGCAGCCGCCAAGATGACTCCAGCGACCGTTCCCACTGGGGCGTTCTCACTGACCGGAGCAAACCTGCACAGACAAACACACACAATGCACCGCATTAATGATGGGTAACTAATAACATACAATAGGAAAAGTAAGTATTGAACACATCATGCTTTTTCGTGGGAATAATATTTCTAAAGGAGCTGTTGAACCTGAACCTGAATCTGAAAAATCATAACAACAATGGAATGACACAAGGTGAAAGTACTGAACTACTGAAATGTATTTAATACTTTATATAAAAGGCTTTTTGGTGATGGCAGCTTAAAGACACCTCTCATATGGAGAATGAAGTCACATGAATTGCTCAGGTGTGAGTTTTTCACAGACTCCAACAGTGTGTAAATATCTAGATGGCTCAGTGGGTCTCGTCTATCAAATCTGATCTCTATTTTATTGTTTCTATTGGATTCAATTCAGGGGATTGGCTGGGCCATTCTACAGCTTGGTTTTCTTTCTCTAAAAGCATATGAGAGTTTCCTTGGCTGTGTTTTGGATTATTGTCTTGCTGAAATGTCCACCCTGGTGTCATCTTTATCATCCTTGTTCTGTAGATGTTGGACTGAGGGAGCTAATATTCATTTACAATGACGAAGGCCAAAGGATTGCTGAAAAACTATCGAGATTTCAGCTGCTGTCTGGGCTTTGACTGCCTTTCTACACCTATCTTTCTTTATGTGTTTAATACTTTTTCCCTGCATCATTTCATTTTATTATGCATAACTTCATTTGCATACTAATTTGTTTTCTTTGCATATATGGATTTCTTTAGTTGTTACCAATATCCAGGGAAATTTTCAACTCAACAGTACCTTTAGAAATATGTTTTCTGAGAAAAATGGTGACATGTTCAATACTTATTTTTCCCATTGTATTATATTGATTGCGATGGAAATATTGTCTCACTGCGTCAGAGAGTGTTTTACAGCTCTCCTGGCATGTAAACATGAAGTATAGCAAAATAAGCTTAAAAAATGTCCTGCTAATTTATTTACTGTAACTACAGGTCATCCGAGATTTTTATTCTTAAGTAGAACATTAAGAAGATTTTAAGCTGAATCTTTATAGGTTTTTTTTGTATTAAAAATAATTATAAAAAATACACACAGAGGACTAAAAAAAGCAAAATGCTGTTTATCAAATCATGTTTATAGAAAGGTTAGTAATAAACATTTATACACAAGTATTTATGTGTATAAAGCATCTGTTTTGTAAGAAGTTTTTCTCATATGTGAACGACTCGTACAGCTTTACTTTGACATTTCCTCGAGCGAGAATGACGTAGACTGAAACTTTCTGTTGTACACCACGCCTATTGGTGCCCTTTTCGCAGTGGAAACGCCTTTTGGCAAGCCTAATAAAAGTGACCCGTACTGACCCATATCATCCAAAATTGTACAAATATGTCAGTATTTCATAATCCTCCCTCTGTTCCAAACCTGTCTGAGTTTCTTAACCTGTTTGAGTTATTACTAATTGCATTTCTGCATTTCAGTTAATAATCAAACCCATTATCTTTTGCTCCTTGATATAAATGTGCTGCAGGCCGTTCAGCGCTATCAACCCGACACATTTTTATTTGACAGAGAATCAATGGCCATGCAGCATGCTTTGCTTTACATTTTTAAAACAGGTGGAAAGCATACCTCGTTTTTTTATGTAAAACAAACTGAATTAATTTGAGCTGTAAGGGATTGTGGTTTATAATTACAGAGAGAGAGAGAGAGAGAGAGAGAGAGAGAGAGAGAGAGAGAGAGAGAGAAAGGGAGAAAGAGAGGGGGGTATTCACAGAAATTTAATCAATCAAGAAGTTAACCAGATCACAGTGTTAATTGGGCATCCTACACAGTTGCTAAACTAAGCAGAATAAAGAGTGTTAATGGAATACGGCGTGGGAGAGAACAGATCTTCACCTCAGATAAACCCGACAGCAGAACTGAGCCAACATGAAGCATATGTTTGAAATCAGCTGTCGCTTCGCTGGCACAAGCACTGTAAAAACTGCCTGCAAGTGCTACAAACTGCCATTATATCATTATAGTGGTGTATATACTTTGCTTTTTACATATGGGTGCAATGGTTCTCTGTATTAAAAAAAAAAAAGTATCATCCCATTGTCCTGCCAGGACACAGGGTGTTCAGTGCATCCTGTGATCCGTGGTTCAAAATATGCATTATTAATATTGGTTTGGTGATTAAAACAACTGCAACAAAGCAAAAATGTTATGCTTTTGTATGCTTCCAATTACCTTTCACATGCGAAGACCTGTGTAAAGCATTCCAGAGTAACACGTTACATTTTTGGGGGAATACAGTAATGTAACAAATTACATTTTAAGTTTGTGTAATTTGATTACAGTTACTAAAGTTAATCTAATTGCATTACTTACGTTACAATTATAGTTTTAGAAGAAATAATGCTTCTTTTAAATCATGTTTCCTCTGCATGTCAGTCAATTAGTGTACACTTTTAAATTGCTGGCGAACGTGAGTTGAAACGGTTGCTGACGAGAGTGGCTGCTTCTTCAAGTGGAAATACAGACATCACATTAATTTCATTGAGCGTAAAAACTTAAATATTGCTGTGAAATGCAGCTTATGTCCAGTTCCAAAATTCAATTTAATTAGTTTATTGTCATGTGCACAGTAAGGAAACACGTTTCCCTGTACAATGAAATTCTCACTTTGCCGTCCACAGTGAAGTCATACACATAACATGCACATCATCATAAGAATAATTATAATACTTACATTTATATAGCGCTTTTCTGGGCACTCAAAGCACTTTACAATCTTTTTACAATACAATTTTAATCTCCTCATCCACCAGCAGTGTGCAGCATCCAACTGGATGACCTGACGCGGCAGCCATTTTGCGCCAGACCGCACACCACACACCAGATGATTGGTGGAGAGGAGACAGAGTGATGAAGCCTTTTATGATATGGGGAGAGTTAAGAGGCCATAATGGACAGAGGCCAGCGGGCAGATTTGGCCAGGATGCCAGGGTTAAACCCCTACTCTTTTCGAAGGACATCCTGGGATTTTTAACAACCACAGAAAGTCGAGACCTTGGTTTAACGTCTCATCCGAAAGACGGCACTCACTGAGCAGTATAGAGGCAAAAGAGCTTTAAACAGCCTAAACAAACCGCACGAAGAGGGAAAACTAACTCTAGTGCGATTCAACCGAACTAAATAAGGCAGGTGTGAAAGCAGTCTTAAGCAGATAGTTTACTAATACTCAATTGGACTATCAAAATAAAGTAAATAAAATAAATAATTTGATAGTCTATTTGTTGAATCCAAGTTACATTGCTTCCAGATGTCAACTAATTCTCATAAGATAATAAGTAGACTGTTAGGTTGGGGTTAGGGTTAGTGTAAGTTGATATGTACTTGCAAAGTTTCTTATAGTCAGTGAAATTTCTGTATTAACAGATATTAAGCAGACAGTCTACTAATACTCAAATGGACCATCGAAATAAAGTGTTACCCACGACCAATCCTTAAAAATACCCTCTGGACCACCCCTTTAAAATTGTCCTTGAGATTTTTGGCCTTTTAAACCTTTTAGTTTTTTTAGAGTGGGCATCTTCTCCCATCAAATCTACCAACACACAAAAACAAAAACTCCTCTCAAGGACACGTTTTGGATCCAAAAGCTAATAATCCTGTAGCAGAATCACCTGTGATTTTACTTTCATACATTTCTGATGCTCGTGCTTGGCTCGGTGACAAGGCGACCTTCATCATCAGTTCGGAGTGCTTAGAGTTTGTCGTACACAAGCTTAACAGGGTGATTCGTTTCCCCCGGGCTGCCACGTGGAAGATACACAGGCTTTTGTTATTCAGAAAGATGACAGACTACCTTCTGTATAATCCGCACATGGACACGTTCCTGTGTATGGGTGCATGGTGTGCTGTGCTTGCAGATAATACTGAAAAATCCCTTGTTCTGACAGCGCTCTAATGGCCGCTCAGCACAACCACATGCTCAAGTGTTCGACACTAATGAGGTCCACTGAGCTGCAACCTGGCATCCCGAAACCTCCATTCCAATGTCATTACTTTGTACTTTATCCGACTGCTGCCTATGGCTTTTAAACAGCAATGAACAGTGCTTAATCTAAAAGCTGAGGATGAGCCACGGGGAAGCTTTCAACTACTTTTACATTTGTTTGATGTTAGATTAGATACTATATAATAACAGTAATTTGAAAGTTTTGGCCTCTTCTCATCAAGACCTAAAAATGTCAAGAACAAGCTAGGAAACCTTCTGAGAAACCTTTACAACTGCCCGGTAACAAACATCCTTATGCTGTATCCCAATTCACATACTAATACTATGTTCTAAAAGTATATTGTGAAGAAAAAGTACCTACTTTTGAGTGTGTAACAAAAGAGTATGCAGACTTTGGGACATTCTACTTCCTCATTAATGGACCGTTTTGTTGCTTAGTTCCGTTTCCTGTCAATCATCGCGACACATCATCCACATTTCTTTCATATTTAATTACCATATTTTCCGCACCTAAGAGCCTTAAATTTTCTCAAAAATCGTCCGTGCGCCTAATAAACACCTTATGTGTTCACTGAGTTCCCAAATCTGTAAAAATGTTGTAATGCGACTTTGGTAAGCGCTCCGCTTGATTGACTGTCAAATCATTTCCCGCTGTCACAGGGACATAACACGTACATTTTGTATGCTTGCAGCAATAAATCAATCAAAGCAACTGCTACAAACAAAAACCAAGTGAAGCAAATGAATTCGGAGCTTGCCATCATTCCTGGAGGAATAACAAAAGATCTCTAACCGTTGGACATTGGTGTAAAAGTGACGTTGCGAGTGGCATTGGAGCGATGGATGTCAGAAGGCTAAACACACCTTTACTAAGACTGCGAGGCAGTGCCGGGCAAGCTACGCTACCATATGTGAATGTTTTGTAAATGCCTGGGCAAGGTATCTGCTTTTTTTTAAAATCCCAAGTTCTGCAAGTTGACGCAGTTGCCAAATCTTTCCTT